TTTATTAGAGGATACTCTATATTCTAGTAGACAGGTGAGGATAGAAGTTGATAAATACAGGTAGGAACCAAAGAGAAACAGTCAAACAAAAGAGTCCTATTCAGTTACACCACATGAAAGCAGAGGGCTAAATATTGACAAATTTGATAAGAGCTTGTATACAAATGCAAGAAATCTAAATATGAAGATGGGTGAACTTGGGTGCCTCATATTAAATGAGGATATTGATATAATAGGCATCACAGAAAGGTGGTGGAAAGATGATAATCAATGGGACACAGGAATACCGGGGTAAAAAATATGTAAGGATGACAGAGTAGGCCATGCTGGTGGGGGAGTGGTAGAATATGTGAAAGAAAGCAAAGAGTCAAATATAGAAAAAAATCTTAAATTAATCAAACAGTACCATAGAATCTCTATGGATAAACATTCCATGCTTGACTAATAACAGTAGGAATATGCAACTGACCACCTGACCGAGATGGTAAAGGTGATTGAGAAATGCTGAGGGAAATTAGAGAATCTACAGAAACAGAAAACTCAGTAATAATGGGGGATTTCAGTTATCCCCATATTGACTGGGTACATGTCACCTCAGAATGGGATGCACAGATAAAGTTTCTAGACACCATGAATGACTGCTTCTTGGAGCAGTTAGTCCTGGAACCCACCAGAGGAGAGGCAATTCTTGATTTAGTCCTAAGTGGTGCACAGGATCTGGTCCAAGAGGTGAATATAGCTGAACCACTTGGTAATGGCCACCAGAGTGTAATTGAATTTCACATCCTTGTAGGGGGAAAAATACCAAAGAAGCCTATGCCATAGTATTTAACTGCAAAAAGGGGAACGACACAAAAATGAAGAGGCTTGTTAAACAGAAATTAAAAGGAACAATCACAAGAGTAACATGCTTGCAAGCTGCATGGAAACTTTTTTACAAATCCCATAATAGAGGCTTAAACTATATGTATACCCCAAATAATAGTTTAAAGAGAGAGAACAGTAAGAGGACCAAAAATGCCACCATGGCTAAACAACAGAGTAAAAGCGGGAGTTAGAGGCAACAAAGATGTCTTTTTAAAAATTGGAAGTCAAATCCTATTGAGGAAAATAGAAAGGAGCATAAACTCTGGCAAGTTGAGTGTAAAAGTATAATGAGGCAGGCCAAAAAAGAATTTGAAGAACAACTAACCAAAGACAGCAACTAACAACAAAAAAGAAATTGTAAGTACATCAGAAGCAGGAAGCCTGCCAAACAATCATTGGGGCTTCTGGATGATCAAGGTGCTAAAGGAGTATTCAAGGAAATAGAGGTTGTTGTGGAGGAGCTAAATGAATTCTTTGCATCGGTCTTCACAGCAGAGGATGTGAGGGAGATTCCCACACCTGAGTCATTCTTTTTAGGTGAAAAATCTGAAGAACTGTCCCAGATTGAGGTGTCGATAGAGGAAGTTTTGGAACAAATTGATAAATTACCATCTCTTTCTGAGAACTTACTATTGTTTATTCAACCAAGAGTTCTGAAGAAACTCATATGAAATTGCAGAAATATTAACTGTGGTATGTAACCTATCGCTTAAATCAGCCTACCAGATGACTGGAGGATAGCCAATGTAATCTTATTTTTTTTTAAAAGGCTCCAGAGGCAATTATAGGCTGGTAAGCCCGACTTCAGTACCAGACACATTGGTTGAAACTATAGTAAAGAACAGAATTATCAGACTCGGAGATTGGGAAGTGTCAGCACAGCTTTTGTAAAGGGAAATCATGCCTCACCAAACTATTAGAATTCTTTGAGGGAGTCAACAAACATGTGCATATGGCTGATCCAGTGGATATTGTGTACTTGGACTTTCAGAAAGCCTTTGCTAAGGTCCCTCAGCAAAGGCTCTTAAGCAAAGTAAGCAGTTCTGGGACTGGTGGTAAGGTCGTCTTATGGATCAGTAACTGGTTAAAAGATGGGAAACAAAGGGTAGGAATAAATGGTCAGTTTTCACAGTGGAGAGAGATAAATAGCAGATCTGTACTGGGACCAGTGCTGTTCAACATATTCGTAAATGATCTGGAAAAAGGGGTAAGCAGTGATGTGGTAAAGATTCCAGACGATACAAAATTACTCAAGATAGTTAAGTCCAAAGCTGACTGCGAAGAGTTACAAAGGGATCTCACAAAATGAGGTGACCGGGCAACAAAATGGCAGATGAAATTCAGTGTTGATAAATGCAAAGTAATACACATTGTAAAACTCAATCCTGACAATATATACAAAATGATGAGGTCTAAACTAGCTGTTACCACTCAAGAAAGAGCTCTTAGAATCATCGTGGATAGTTCTCTGAAAACATCCGCTCAATGTATAGCAGCAGTCAAAAAAGCTGACAATGTTATAAATCATTAGGAAAGGATAGGTAATAAGACAGAAAATATCATAATGCCTCTGTATAAATCCATGGTACGCCCACACCTTGAATACTGCATGCAGTTCTGATTGCCTCATCTCAAAAAAGATATTTTAGAATTGGTACAGAGAAGGGTAACAAAAATGATTAGACGTATGCAATAGCTTCCATATTAGGGGATATTAAAAAAACTGGGAATGTTCAGCTTAGAAACGAGGCAACTAAGGGGAGATGCAATAGAAGTCTATAAAATCATGAATGGTGTGAAGAAAGTGAATGGGCAAGTGTTATTTACCCCTTCACATAGCACAAGAACTAGGGGTCATCCAATGAAATTAATAGGCAGCAGGTTTAAAACAAACATAGGGAAGTATTTCTTCACGCAATGCACAGTCAGCCTCTGGAACTCATTGCCAGGGGATGTTCTGAAGGCCAAAAGTATAACTGGGTTCAAAAATAAATTAGAGAAGCTTGATGGAGGATAGGCCCATCAATGGCTATTAGCCAACATGGGCAGGGATGCAATCCCATGCTCAGAGTGTCCCTAAACCTCTGATTGCCATAAGCTGGAAGTAGACGACAGGGGATGGATCACTCAAGAATTGCCCTGTTCTGTTAATTCCCTCTGGGGCACCTGGCATTGGCCACTGTCGGAGGGCAGGATACTGGGCTAGATGGACCTTTGGTCGGACCCAGCATGGCCGTTTTTATGGTTAAACAGGCACAACTCTGCATGGAGACAGTCCCTTGTTGTCTGTCCTGGTGCTGCTGAGGAGGCCGCGGAGGCAATGGTTGGGACGGGGTGACGCAGGTCCATACTGTCATGCTTGGTGTCATGTGAACTGAGCCTGGCCCTGAAATGCTTTAGCAGGATCCTTTCCTGCTGTTGCAGGACCTTTCCGGGGGTGTGGGTGCCCCCAGATAGAGGGATGCAGCCCCCCCCCCCAAGCTCCTGAGCCAGTGGGGGTGGGAGGAGTGGCATCGGATCGTGCCCTGCGCAGGGCGTCGGGTATCTTTGGCCTGTCCCTCAGTGTGAGTGAGCTGTGAACGTCCTGGCCTCTGCTGGTGAGGGCCAGCTCCTCCGCACTGGCCAGGTGTAGTCATGGCAGGACCTTGGGGCTCCTCTCTGGGAGGCAGAGTCTTGGTCCCCCACACCTTTTCCCCCTCCCCTCCCTCCTCGAATGCAGAAGGTCGCTCTGCCTCCGGGAGCCTTGGGTGTGGGTCCCGCAGGCTCCCTGCTAGGGAGTGATGTGCTGCCTTGGGCAGGAGGCTCAGCCATCCGGCAGGGGGTTATCATGCTGGGCGAGCTCATTGGGTCCTGCCTGGTCCACGCAGCAGGACAGCTCCTTGCTGCCTGCTCCTCCCCCCTCCCCCCCCCAAGAGAGTCGCTGAGGCTGATGGGTCCCACCAGAGTGAGCCTGGACACAGACTGCCCCTATGGCCGAGGCCTCCAGTCATCCAGGACAGAGTGCTAATTCCTGGTGCAGTGACCCTGTCCTGAGCCCTGTCCTGTCCTGGATACTTCCTCTAGGGGACCATGGGGTGGGGCCCCCCTCACACATGGGGGAGGAGTGGGGGCAGGGGAACCCAGGAGCCCCCGGGGAGGGAGAGCATCCCAGAGGGAGCATTATGTGGATGTGAGCCACATGTCATCCTGACCTTGTCCTGAATCCCCTCCTGTCCTGCTCCTTGTTCTCCATTCCCATCCCTGTCTCTGCTCGCCCAGCTCTCGCCCACCTAGACTTGGTTTTCACCCTCCCGTCCCTGGAACAGTTGTGCCCGTGTCTGAGCTACTCCACTCGCCCAAAGGGGTGGTAGGACATCATGTGTGGGAACGGCATAGACCCGGGTAATGGCCGATTTGGGATGGGGGAAGGGCCATACCCTGTACCCTCCCCTCCCTCCATCATTCACCATGCACTTCCCTCCCGTCCACGTGTCCGGCTGGTGCGGGTGCTGCCCCTGTTCCCTCTCTGCCTCTGGTGAGCTGATTAGCATGGTAACTGCTGCAGGTGAGCCATGGAAAAGCCCTTTCTCACTGGGATAGGTTCCTGGAGATTGGGCAGGGAGCTGGGCGGAGGGAGGTGGGGGCAGAGGGGGAGGCAGGCCTGGGCGGGTAGTGCTAGGGCAGGAGTAGTGGGCCTTGCCAGTGTGAAGGTGGCTGTGCCAGGCTCTTAATTCTCCGTCCTGCTCTCTTGCAGAGGATCCTGCCTGGAACGGGGGCTGGCACCCACAGTCATGGAGGATGATCCGGCTTCTCCTGCCAGCAAGGCCCCGTCCCCGCTGAGCTGTATCCGGATGGTCCAGGCGGGCTGGTCGGAGAAGGAAGATGGGGCCTGGGAGCGGAGCGGAAGCATGCGAGATCCAGCGATGGTGGGGAGCTCTCCAGGGCGACCCGGGAGTTCTCCCCCTCTTTGCCCACCCAGCCGGTGCCAAGGGGGGCATAGCCCTGCCACCCCCCAGGACACTGATGGGACAGGCCAGAACCAGAATGGGGGAGAGGAGGAGGTGGTGTCCCCTCTGTGCCAGGAGCCCCCCCAGTCCCCGGCTCCAGGGGAGCCACAGCCCCGCAGGCCGTTCCGGCGGAAGCACCGGCTGTACATGAAGCTGGCCCCTGGCAAGCTTACTGTGTCCCCAAGCCAGGACAGGGGGCAGCCAGCCACTGCCGAGGAGCCAGGGCCCTCCCAGGGCAAAAGGCTACGGCTGCTGCGAGGCCAAGCCAGCAACTTCCGGAGGAAGAAAAGACCCTTGGAGAATGGCCAGGAGGCAGGGCCTGGCAACGTGGGACCCTCCCTCCCACTCCGCCAGTGCAGTGGGGAGGAGGGGCAGGACCCGGCACCAGAGGGGGAGGAGGCGGCGCAGGGCTTGGCATTGAAGCGGGAGGAGGAGGAGGGGCAGGGCCTGGCAATGAAGCGGGAGGAGGAGCAAGACCAGGGCCTGGCACTGGAGTGGGGGGAGGAGGAGAAGAGGTTCGGCTCCCCCAGGTTGGCTGGGCCTGGCACCGCCCGCCCCAAGCCGGACTTCGTGCAGCTGATCGATGAGCACGGGATCTACTCCACGGCCAAGCTGGTGCTGGGCAGCGCGGCGGGCGAGCTGGACGAGGGGGTGGTGCTGCCGCCACACCTGAGGCGGGCAGGCCCCCAGCTGGAGATCCGGGAGGTGATCGTGGACGACAAGCCCTTCGCGTGCAGCGTGTGCGAGAAGACCTTCAAGCGGGCCTGGGAGCTGTTCAGCCATGAGGTGGTGCACAACGAGGAGCGGCCCTTCCACTGCGACCTCTGCGAGGCCTCCTTCAAGCGCCACTCGGACTTCAAGAGCCACCGGCTGGTGCACACTGAGGAGCGGCCCTTCCACTGCGAGATGTGCGGCAAGAAGTTCAAGCGCTCATCCAACCTCCAGGAGCACCGGCGCATTCACACCGGCGAGCGCCCCTACCAGTGCGCCTGCTGCGACAAGAGCTTCAAGACGCCCTACGAGCTGCAGCGCCACATGCTCACCCACTGCACCGAGAAGCCCTTCAAATGCGGCGACTGTGGGAAGGACTTCCCCACCTCCAACTCGCTGCTGCTGCATCAGCGCCAGCACTGCGACGACAAGCCCCACGTCTGCGGCGTCTGCGGCAAGAAGTTCACCTACGGTCACAGCCTCAAGGTGCACGAGCGGGTTCACACCGGCGACCGGCCCTTCGTCTGCCCCATTTGCGGCAAGGGCTTCAAGCAGTCCAACGCCCTCTCCTCGCACGAGCGGGTGCACACCGGCGAGCGCCCCTTCGTCTGCAAGACCTGTGGCAAAGCCTTCAAGCAGTCGTCCTACCTGGTGATCCACGAGCGCTCGCACACAGGCGAGCGGCCCTA